GGGTCACAGAGAAAAAGGAGAGCCAGTGCCCTACAGAATTTACATTCCACAGGCTGTCTGGCGGCATAGTGGTCAGGCAGCTGGACACATGGCTGACTGTACCCAATGGCTTGAAAAACATGCTGGGCACATGTGCATGTGTGCCAAAATCCTGAGAGGACAGAGGAGAAGACATTGCAGCATGGCCATCCCTCCGGGCAGTGATTCCTCACACACAGCTCTCCCAGCCCCCACTTTCTGTCTCTTGGGAGAGTACATGTGCCCTACAGAAAGTGTGTCTCCTATACACATAAGATTAGGACCAAAAAATCAAAAAGAATTTCAGGGCCAGCAGATGGCGTGGTGGTTAAGGTGCTGGATCCCACATGGCCGACCACGGGGTTTGAATCTTGGGCCTTGTAGCTGGAAAACCACACCAGGCACGCGTGCATGCCAAAAAAAATCCTGAGAGGAGATTGTAGAGGCCATCCCTCCTGAGGGTGATTGCTCACTTTCCCTCTGTCTTTCTCGGCAAAGGCATGCACTCCCTATGGCACAAATCTAAAAAAGAAAAGTTTTCGCACCCCTCCACTGGCAGGAGAGCTGTACCAAACGCACACTTAAAGAGCTCTCCTGGCTGCGCTGTCCTGATTTACGAGTAACCGAAATACACACACACACACACACATGCATGTGCACAGCTTGGATAGACAACACCAAAGCTACTACATGAGTGGGTGGTCACCGGATTCAAAAAGCACCCAAACCGAAAGAATATGCCACCAGTAGAGGCTGTATTTGTGTTAGTAAAGAACTATTTGTGGAAGTGAAAAGTCCCTATGAGGAAGTAGATGCTTATGTTTACTTGTGCCAATAATTTAAAGACTTTCTTAATAAATGCCTAAGTAATTTAGTGAAAGCCTGGGCTTGCCCATGAACCGGCTGGTCAGGGGATGGAGTGTAAAGACCCAGTAGGGGCTGCTGTCTCTGTCTCCCTGTGTCTCTCCTGCTCATGGAAGAAATAAATTTTAAAAAGTCTTTACTTATATTAATTCCCTTTAGGATTTATTTCATTAGCCTCATGAGTATTTATGGAGAAGCTCAACTGTACTAGAAATCATTGTTCTATGAGCTGTTCCAGTGACTCAAGTTTCTGTTAAGAAGTTTAATTCTGGGACCAACACATGACAAAATGGTTACATCACTGGACTCCCATGTAGTCGACTGCGGTTTAAGTCCCGGACCCAAGCGCGTGTGTGAGCATGCTCAAGATCCCGAGGGGAGAATGGAGGAGAAGGAGTGTGGCATCCCCTGGGGCATGATTCCTTGCTTTCTGTCTCTCTGATGGGCATGTGTGCCCTATAGCAAAAATCTCCCCCCCAAAAAAAAAATAGAAAAAAAAAAGAAAAAACACACAAGAAGTTTAATTCTAGTGTACTTGTGTACTTCAAAGTTTTAATTATACCCAATCCGGGGTCACAGAGAAAAAGGAGAGCCAGTGCCCTACAGAATTTACATTCCACAGGCTGTCTGGCGGCATAGTGGTCAGGCAGCTGGACACATGGCTGACTGTACCCAATGGCTTGAAAAACACGCTGGGCACATGTGTATGTGTGCCAAAATCCTGAGAGGACAGAGGAGAAGACATTGCAGCATGGCCATCCCTCCGGGCAGTGATTCCTCACACACAGCTCTCCCAGCCCCCACTTTCTGTCTCTTGGGAGAGTACATGTGCCCTACAGAAAGTGTGTCTCCTATACACATAAGATTAGGACCAAAAAATCAAAAAGAATTTCAGGGCCAGCAGATGGCGTGGTGGTTAAGGTGCTGGATCCCACATGGCCGACCACGGGGTTTGAATCTTGGGCCTTGTAGCTGGAAAACCACACCAGGCACGCGTGCATGCCAAAAAAAATCCTGAGAGGAGATTGTAGAGGCCATCCCTCCTGAGGGTGATTGCTCACTTTCCCTCTGTCTTTCTCGGCAAAGGCATGCACTCCCTATGGCACAAATCTAAAAAAGAAAAGTTTTCGCACCCCTCCACTGGCAGGAGAGCTGTACCAAACGCACACTTAAAGAGCTCTCCTGGCTGCGCTGTCCTGATTTACGAGTAACCGAAATACACACACACACACACACATGCATGTGCACAGCTTGGATAGACAACACCAAAGCTACTACATGAGTGGGTGGTCACCGGATTCAAAAAGCACCCAAACCGAAAGAATATGCCACCAGTAGAGGCTGTATTTGTGTTAGTAAAGAACTATTTGTGGAAGTGAAAAGTCCCTATGAGGAAGTAGATGCTTATGTTTACTTGTGCCAATAATTTAAAGACTTTCTTAATAAATGCCTAAGTAATTTAGTGAAAGAAAATGTTATAGCAAATAATAATAATAATAATAATAATAATAGCTTGATGAAGCGCCAACCAAAGAGAAACATCCATGGGAACCAGCAGTTAGCGTAATGGCTATGTCACTGGACTCCCACATAGTCGACGGCGGTTCGCGTCCTGGACCCGGTGGCTTAAAACTCACGCCGGGCGCGTGTGCGTGCATGCTCAAGATCCCGAGAGGAGAATGGAGGAGAAGGGATTGTGGCGCGACCATCCCCCCTGGGGGATGATTTCTTGCTTTCTGTCTCTATGTCTCTCTCTGTCTGTCTGGTGAGTGCACGCGCCCTACAGTGAAAACCTCTCAAAAAGAAAAAAAAAAAAAGCCATCCATGAAGAGCAAAAGACTATTCTCCAACTCTCTATCCTGCCTTCGGCACAACATGACAGAGAACAATTAATAATTTCCCCGAAGAGGTAAGAAATACGATCAAGTAAACATCTAAACGAATCGTGGCTGGGTCAGCTGCATGGCAGGTTGACAGGAAAACTCGTGGAATCCTCGACTTGGGGACCAGCTCCTGGGGTGGACAGTGGGCCCTCCCACTGCTCAGGCCAGTGCAGAGGACTCAGCTGGGCGGTCCTCCCATCGGACAAGGCTGGTGTCAGGTCAGCTTGCCCTCGAGGTGACCTCTGTCCAAGAGGACAAAGACACAGGACACAGAGGGAGATGGGCGTTTCATCTGTCAGACTGTTTGGACCTTAATCTTAAATCTCTCATTGACTGACTTTTCCTCTTGCCTCTCCTGTCAGGTGGAGGAAGGAAGGAGACGGAAGCAGGCCATGCCTACGGCCAGCGTTGGAGATGGAGAACCACCTCCCTCCAGGCCAGGGGCTGGAGAACTCAGCCTCGCAGATGTGGCTGAACGCTGGTAACGGGACAGGGGAGGATGGCGTGAGTGCACCGTCCCACGCTCGTCCCTCGTCTGTACGCTGTGTGTGCGTGTGCGTGGTGGTGGCAGTGGCGGTTTTGCTATATTTCAGACTGAGTCTCGCGGTGTCGTCATCCTCCTGCCTCAGCCTCCTGAGTAGGGGGACCACAGTGCCAGCTTTTAGAGTGGGCTGGGAATTGAACTCAGGCCTCCCAAGCACCAGCGTCCATGCACAGTGCCATGGCTAGGCTGCTTTTCTGTATACTTGGCAACTTAAAAAAGAAAGGTCTGAACAAACGAGAAATATATATACACTGCTTTGAAGGGCTGAGGTAGAGGAGGATGGAAATGGCACCGTTCCTCAAACCTGGGGATCGAACTCTGGGTACGTCTTCGTCTTTCTTAAAAAAAAAAAAAAAAAATTTATTTACTTACTTACTTATTTTTACTTATTTATTTGGTTTTTGCCATAGGGTGCATGTGCCCAGCGGAGAGAGACAGCAAGAGGGAAAGTAAGAACACACACACCCCCAGGGGATGGCCACACAATACCGTAAGCTCTTCTCTGCCGTTCTCCTTCAGGGACCCTGGCCATGCACACACACACTGCCGGATCCAGGACTCGAACCATGGTCAGATATGTGGGAGTCTAGCTCCCTAACCACCACACCACCTGTTGGCCCCTATTTACTTATTTTTATTTTGACCAGAAAGAGAAAGTGAGAAAGCAAGCCATTAAGTCCAGGACTTGAACTGTGGTCGGCCATGTGGGAGTCCAGCTCCTTAACCACCACACCACCTGTCAGCCCCACTAACTGGGAGGTTGTTTTGTTTTGTTTTTTTAAAGAGTGATTTCTGTTATAGGGCATGTGCACTCACCAGAAAGGCAGACAGAAGGCCAGAAAACAAGAAATCATCCTCTAGGGAGGATGGCCACTCCACAACCCCTTCTCCTCCATGTCCCTCTTAGGATCTTGGGCATGCACACACACGTGCCTGGCTTGAGTTTTAAGCCAACGTTCCGGGACTCAAACCATGGTCAACTACGTGGGAGCGCAGCAACGTAACCATTACACCATCTGCTGGTCCCCTGGCAGGTTAACTCTTAACCTTAGATCCCACACAATCAACTTGCACCAACAACCTTGGAGTGTATAATTTAAAACAAAAAAAGCAGCAGCCCTGAGTGTCTCTCCTACACTGCTGACACCGTCCCTGTGGGCCAACTTACAGAACTCCACGAGTTCCCACCCGGAGAGGCCCCAGCCCCATGAGACTTAGTGACCCCCCTCCCCCACTGGACTACGGATACTCTTGTTCTCCCAAAGCCAGCCTGACCTGCTCAGGAAGGCCACCACAGTCTCGCCTGAGGACACCGTGGTACTGAAGGACCAAACAGGGCAATTTCTCTTCGGCCTGCGGCTGGTGACAGGCTGCCAGCGTGGGTGTGGGAAAACCCACCGCCAAGGAATGAAATTCATTCGGATGACAACTGACTCCATCGCTGGCTATTCGAGGAAAGAAGGGAGTGGAGCTTTTGAGCGGGAAAGGAAATCTGGTCCTCGACATACATCACGGCTCGCCTGTGACTTGTCCGGAAGGGAGATCTATTTGAGCCCAGCGCCTGCCTGACTAGGCTCTGCTGACCTCCACACTCCACCCGAGGCCCCACCCCACTTTCCAAAGGACCAAAATATCTCCCCCATGTTCGGTGAGGACTCCCACAGGGCCCGGCCTGGCCGCCGGGGATTTACCGATGTCGCTCAGCAAGGTGAGGATGGCTCCTTCCCGCAGGCCGCAGCAGTTCTCGAACTGGTTCAGGTACTGTCGGGAAGTTGAAAGGAAAGGTGAGCGAGCACCCTTCACCACCTGATGTCACCTAGGTGCTAACTAGGGGCCCAGGGCACGAGGGGACCCACCTCTGAGGACACCGGACAGCAAGGCTGGCAGGATGGGCCCAGGTAGGAGGAGGAAGCAGCCTGAGAGCCCCTGGAGGCCCTCCTGTGCTCCTGGCACGTGTGGCTGGTGGTGTCTGAGTCATGCAGAGATGGAGAATTTCGATTCTCCCTGCCACGGCGGCCTTGACGAGGCAGGCCAGAGCCCAAGATGCTCAGCCACAAAAATTCTCTGCTCCCGAGAGCCCCACAGATGAGTCTCACAGATCCAGACTAACCTCCCTGGACCACCTCCCTGTCGCGGCCAGGTCATGTGGGGAACGCTCAGTGAGCAGGTACTGGCCTGGCCTGGGGCTCGTCTCTGCAGGAACGAGCTCAGCTCTGCTCTGCCTGCAGGATCTCATCCCGGTCTCGCTGCTGCCCTGAGGGAAGCGCTGTTGGAGCGTTCCCAGTGGTGACAGCGCTGAGACCAGAGGGGTGCCGCAGCTGTCAGCCACATGGCTACTGGAGGTGGAGCTGGGTGTGAGGCCATGCCCCACTTGGGTTCCAGCTGCTTGCCCCTTACCCTCCTGGCCTCCTCAACTTAGTAGAAGGCTCCCCCTGCTACTGGAAGCTGGTCTCAGAGGAAGACAGTGGAGACAGGGACTTCCCAGCTGAGGCTTGTAGTCACTAATCAGCATTTATATTACAGCACACGGGGGTGCAGTAGGTGGTGCAGTGGTTAAGGTGCTGGATTCCCACGTGGCTGACTGCAGTTCGAGTCCCAGACCTGATAGCTTGCTTGTTCGCTTTCCTTCTCTCTCTCTCTGGTTAGTGCATGTGCCCTAGATCAAATTTAAAACAATAAAGAAACTAACAATAAATTAAATTAAAATAAAACACACGCACGTTCAGGCCAGCTGCACAGTGCAGTGGTTAGGTGCTGTGCATTGGGGACCCGATCCCACAAGGCTGGCTGTGGTTCAAATCCCAGGCATGGTTCAAAAAACATACCAGGTGTGTCCATGCATTCTCAAAACCCTGATGGGATGGAGGGAAAAGACTGCAGTGTGGCTACGCCCCATCAGAGGGTGCTTTCTTTCTCTGTCTCTCTGTGAATGCACATATCCTCTGGCAATTTAATACGTTACAAAAATAAAAAAGCCAAGAGCCCGCTTCCCTAC